CTTGCCAGTGGTAGCCCTCTCACAACCACGGGAAAAGCCAGCTTGGGATGAAGCCAGCCACAGAAGAGAGCAAAGCTGCACACAGAACACAGGTGGGCCCTCAGTGAGGTGTGCGTGAGACCCACCTGATCTCTATTATGTGAACCAATAAAATGCCTTACTTTAAAAACCCACATGCAGTCGGATTTCTGTGCCCTGTAGCCAAAAGCACTCTAACAGCTATTCCCAAATTAGCACAAGCCCAGACCTCTCCTGAGCTCCAGGTATGTCTACCCAAGTGCCTACCTGGTGTCTTCACTGGGTTCTCTCATAAGCACTTCAAACTTAAGAAGTTCAAACTGAACTCTTGGTCCAGGCGTCCTCAAACTACGGCCCACAGGCCACACGAGGGTGTTTTTGCCTGTTTTTTTACTTCAAAATAAGATATGTGCAGTGTGCATAGGAATTTGTTCATAGTTTTTTTTAAACTATAGTCCGGCCCTCCAACGGTCTGAGGGACCCCTGTCTTGGTCCTTCCCCACCAAACCTCCTCTTCTTCTAGTTATACACCACAGTGAATGGCAACCAACCACGAGCTGCTCGTGGCAAAAAGATGTGGGCCATCCGTGAGTCCTCGTTTCTTTCCCCCTGTCCAGCCCAACGCAAAAGTCCAGCCAACTCAGCCTTGAACGTGCTCATCGGGTCTGCCCATTCTCTCCATTTCCACTGTGCCCCTAGTCCATGCTGTCCTCATCCCTTCCCTGTATGGTGGTCTTTTTTTTTTTTTTTTGAGACAGAGTCTCACTTTGTTCCCAGGCTAGTGAGTGCCGTGGCTCAGCCTAGCTCACAGCAACCTCAAACTCCTGGGCTCAACAATCCTCCTGCCTCAGCCTCCAAAGTAGCTGGGACTACAGGCATGTGCCACCATGCCCGGCTTAATTTTTCTATATATATTAGTTGGCCAATTAATTTCTTTTTTTTACTTTTATAGTAGAGACGGGGTCTCGCTCTTGCTCAGGCTGGTTTCGAACTCCTGACCTCAAGCAATCCGCCTGCCTCAGCCTCCCAGAGTGCTAGGATTACAGGCGTGAGCCACCGCGCCCGGCCATTTCTTTCTATTTTTATAGTAGAGACAGGGTCTCACTCAGGCTGGTTTTGAACTCCTGACCTTGGGCAATCCACCTGCCTCGGCCTCCCAGAGTGCTAGGATTACAGGCGTGAGCCACCGGGCCCAGCCGTACGATGGTCTTACACAGCCTCCTTTCTCTCTCACTGTCCAATCTTTCCAAATCCATGCTTCTTACCACTGCCAGTGACTTAAAAGAAAACCAGTAATTATTATGATTGTTTTTATAGAGGTGGGGGTCTGGCTATGTTGCCCAGACTGGCCTTGAACTCCTGGCCTCAAACAATCTTCTCACTTCAGCCTCTCAAGTAGCTAGGATCACAGGCACAATCCACTGCACCCAACTCAAAATCAGTAATTATTTTCTAGAGCATAGCAGTAAGAAGAAAGGGCTGTGGAGCAGGACAGATGGGATAGTTACGTATTGCTGCATAACAAATCACTCCAAACCTCAGTGGTTAAAAACATTCATCAACTCACAGCTTCTGTGGGGCAGGAATCCAGACATGCCTTAGCTGGGTGCCTCTGCCTCGAGACCACTCCTGAGGCTGCAATTAAGGTGTCAGTCAGGGCTTTAGTCTCATCTCCCATCCAAGTACTCAGCAGGCCTGACCCTGCTTAGCTGCCAAGATCAGACAAGACTGGGTGCGTTCAGGGTGGTATGGCCGTAGACATTTGGTCTCATCTGAAAGCTCAACCAGTGCAGGATCTGTTTCTATGCTCACTTGAGCGGTAGGAGGTAGGATTCAGGTCCTCATGGGCTGTTTGCTTCATAGGGCAGCTGGGGTCTCTCATCAGCTGTGCCCTGCAGTGCTTGGCACAGACTGGGCTCAGTAAGTGCTATTACCCTGATGTTGAAGTGGGATTCCGGTTGTGAATGTACTCTGTCCTCCTGTTGCCAGTGATACCAAGGTGGACATTGGACTGCATCACTGCCCTGTTCCTTCAGTGGCTTCCATTCCACTGAGGATAAAAGCCAAACTGCTGATGGTGCTCAGGCCCTGACAACTACCCAAACTTGTGCTATGCTGTTCTGTTCCTTACACTGCCTCCATCCCACTGGCCTTTCTTGAGTGCACCAGTCTCTTTCCGATTTGGCAGTCTGAAGCATTTAGATCTGCCTGGCTATCTTCTACTTATCCACCAGGTCTCAGATTAATTATTACTTCTCCAGAGAGGCCTTCCTTGAATACTTATTGTAAATTAGATCCCCTGATGGATTCTTCCATAGCATCCTGTATTGCACTTGCTATAGTTCGAAATTTTATCTTTATACTGTTATTTGATTAATATTTGTCTCCCTCTCTAAACTATAAACTCAAGCCAGGGACTCTATCGGTTTTGCTTACCACTGTGTTTCCACTCACTAACACAATGTCTGCTCATAGTAGACATTTACATAAAAAGTTGTCCTTCAATGAATCAATCTGACAAGGAACATTTGCATTCCTTAAATTCTATAATCGAGATTTTCTGTGGATCACAAAGCAGTTTCAGAGTCACTTGGCTGCTATGTAGGTATTAATAATATATAAATTTTTGGTGTGGGCTGGGCATAAATAATGAACACTTTTCTAAAGTATGCAACTGAAAGCCAAATTGAAATACAGACTGTTTTAATCCATATACCTAAATATCAATTTGAGCAATAGCAAAATCAGAAGACTGCTACTCAATACATTTTTATGCAACCAAGACATTTTAAACATGTAAATAAAACAAATGAAAAATGTCACAATCATAATCCTTAGACACTGGATCCTGAATATAAAAACTTTAAATGGTTTCCTATTTCATTACTTTATCTTAATTTTCTTTCCATTTGGCTAGTCTCCTGCTGGATTAAAATTATAGTCAGATTTTCTGAGCCTGTCATTCTAAGAAATTTCAGCTGGTTTTCTTCAACACTTCCCCACCTTATTTGTGCAGAGATTTTTCCTTGTGGTTCAAAATAAAGGAATATTCTGAAGTTTCCTTCAGTCATACATTGCTCAGGTTTGTTCTTACTGCCAGGTCCTGCTCCCGCTTGTTGCCGCTCATTGATTTGGCAGAGGGAAGCATGAGCCTCGCGATGACTGCTGACCTCAGTTCCCTCTTTACCTGGTACTGCAGGAATGGAGGGAGACAGCAGTGAGGACCAGAGCATGAACTCTGCAGCCAGAATGCCCACTTTAGTCTGGCCTCTCCACACACCGGCTGTGTGATCCTTGGCAAGCAACTCCATCCCCCGGTGCCTCAGGCTCCTCACTTGGGAAATGGGGATAAAGATACACTCACACTCAAGGTCAGGAGTTCAAAACCAGCCTGAGCAAGAGTGAGACCCCGTCTCTACTAAAAATAGAAAGAAAGCAATTGGCCAACTAAAAAAATATGTATATAAAAAATTAGCTGGGCATGCCTGTAGTTCCAGCTACTCGGGAGGCTGAGGCAGAAGGATCGCTTGAGCCCAGGAGTTTGAGGTTGCTGTGAACTAGGTTGATGCCACGGCACTCTAGCCTGAGCAACACAGTGAGAGTCTGTCTTAAAAAAAAAAAAAAAATACACTCACCTCAGATGGTTGTTAAGGAGATAAAATAATTTTCATAAAACTCTTGGAGTAGTTTTTAGCCCATAGTAAGTGCTATCTATATGCTTATTAATTCAATTATTTATATTTACATTGAAATATAAAATTTTTTTCTATCTTCAGGACTATACCCTCTTGCTACAACATGAAGATACTGAAACTACAGAACATATCCAAGATATGTGACTATTCCATGTTGGGTGTGGGTAGAACACAGAGCTTTGCTGGGCTTTGGGGATTTCACCTACAAACGGTGCTATTGCCAGCCCTGCAGGGCCTCTGGGAAGATAATAGCATCCACAGACACACACACACACACACACACACACACACACACACACACACCCCTTCTAATACTTCTAGGAACTTGGGGGAAGTTATATAGAACAGTCTATAAAGTCAAATCACCTCATATCAAAATTAGTTCATAAAAGGAAAAAAAAAAATAAAGGCAAGTGTGCAGGTCATTAATTGAACTGAAATCACAAAGCATGGACATGACTGGTGACACGAAGACTAACCTAATACAGTTTTGTGTTTAAGCAAGGAAATTCTGAATTAACACACACACACACACACAACCTTTCCAAATCACCCTAAATCAATGCTACTTACCCTTCTCAGAATAATTCAGTCCAACTTAGGAATTTCATTGTTTTTAATAATATACCACAGAATATAACCTAAGAGCTCATTTATTACAGATAAGAACATATTTGAACTCCAGGCTTTACCCCCAGAATGTTTGGAAGGTGCTGTCAGGCTAAGTTACCAAAGCATCCTTTTTAAAAGGTCCCAAATGTATGGATTTTATGAATAAGAAATATTTACCATTAATTAGCATCCTAGGCTCAAGTAAAACAAACATTGGCACAGAATTCTAGAGTCTTCTCATTTAGTTTCCCGATGGTTCTTTGTGTCCTTGCCAGAAAATTATGTTTTGAGGTACACTTGATTTTGAATGAGTCCTTTTACTGGAATTGTTTAAGAAACAGTTTGAGTTTATTAAAAAACCCTGTTCTTATGCTGCTTAGAGAGTTGATAAGGGGGTCTTTAAAGGAAGCTGGGAAGTAGGACATTACCAAATGACTCTAGATGGTAAAATACATGTCTCCAGTCAGCAAGTGTCAATCTTGGATGTAAAAGAAACAATAGGAAATGCCATCAATAATCCAAGTGAATGCTAAGGGGAATCATGGTTCAAAGTAAGCAGAAGAGAACATAGGACCAGATAAAAATGCACCAGAGTTGAGATGCATACCATCCCAAGACAGACCACACACTCACCTGTCCTCAGAGTTTAAATGAGATGCCAACACTGTTTTTTGGTTTTTTTTTGAAACTAAATGCATTTTAATAGAAAACAAAATACAAAATAACTCTTCTCAGAAAACAGAAATATTTAATCCTTTTTCCACAAATTAGAACTTCCTTTATGGTCAGAGCGTAGTTTGATATGCGTGCGAGCATACTTACGATCGTCCCACCAAGTGTTCGCTAGACTGGAACTGCAGTGCAGGAGGCGGGAGCAGATCACCGCAGCAGAGAAGGATGACAAAAAAGCTACACCGCTGAATGGTCATTTGGAAATTCCACATTTTTCTAATATTATCTTGTGACTTTTACTCCAAATTATTCTTTATCATAATCTTTCTTTTGAGGGGAGAGAATTACTAATGGAAGTGCAGCCATGAGAAGAACTGTCTTTCCCACCATCACTGCAAGAGCCCAAGAGCCCAAGTTTTCTCAATCAAACCCACCCACCCACTTCCAGGAACACGTCAACTGGGGTGACCAATCTGTCACCCAAAATTTCCCTTTCTCCCAATACACTGTGCTACCAAATTCTCTGAATTCCCTGAACCTCAAAATTCCAAGTATCGAAGCCAGTGCCAGGAGTCAAACCTGAAAGATAAAAGCAGAGAAGGTCCCCTCTGCCAGTGCTAGGTTTCCTCTTCTCAATAATAATAATAATTATAATTATAATAACAATAATAAAAAAATCCTGGTTCTCTGTAATTGCGGAAAAGGAAAGACTTTTCGCCAGGATCATCCCCTCCCCTTTCCTAGTTCCTGTCCCCACATCCCTCCACCAGTAAGGACTTCCCTTCTGCCTGAGGGCTGGACCCCAGGTGACACCTCTGCCACATTGCTTCTCCTGAGAGTGCTCTGCAACCACCCTCTGACCACACCCGGCCCTGGGTGGGGCGGAAGGGAAAAGCGAGACAGAGACAGGAAGGTGCTTGCACGTGCAAGAGCACAGCAGGGTCTTGGCGAAAACCAGTGATCGGCCTCTGGAGCATCCTAATTCGTGATCTCGTGTCCACTCATCACTGCCTCGCCTCTGCCCCAACCCCAACCCTGGCCTTCCATGTTGGGGGGCTGAGAGAAGAGGGGCCTGTCTGGGATGAGGGCCCAGGAGGGAGGGGAGAAGGGGGGCTCTTTCACAGTCAGTCAGTGATTCAATCTCAGCTTGTGGAAGGACTGCAACGGGAGGCCTTCCCCCACTGCCCCAGTCCGTTCCAACAAAGAAAAGAATTAATGTTCCTGATTTTCTTGTGTGATTCCAGTCACCAGAAGAAGGTTGCAGGCCATGAACTGCACACTCAGGACGTTGCTCATCTGCCCGGTGTACACGCCCACGAGCTCGCTGGAGGAGCCGTCGGCAGGCGCGCTGCAGTAAGTGTTCCTGATGTCCCAGACGCGCACCGAGTTGTCCATGGAGGCAGAGGCGACCAAGCCACTGTCCGGACTGAAGGTGAGGCTGGTGATATTGTCTGTGTGGCCTCTCAGTTCTTTATAAAGGGTCCCAGAGGCCAAGTCCCACAGCTTCAACCGCTGGTCCTCGCCCGCGGACGCCAGGTACTTACCGTTGGGGGAGAAGGCAAGGGAGAGCACGGGGCCACGGTGGCCGGTGAAGAGCCTCACCGAGTTCCCCTGCTGGGCGCTCCACAGCCGGACGGTCTTGTCGGTTGAGCCGGTAGCTAAGTAGTTTGAATTCGGGTGGAATTTGACACAGTCCACATCTGCCAGGTGTCCTGCATATATCCTCAGCGGGTACGTCCGATCAAAGGACCACAGCCTGGCGGTGCGGTCGTGGGACCCGCTGGCGAAGTACAGACTGTACGGGCTGATGTCCAGGTCCCACACAGGATAGGCATGTCCTTGGTACAGCACAGTGTTGGTGAAACTCCCCAGGTCCCAGTATCGGATGGACATGTCTTCAGAACAAGAGAGCAACCCTGAGCTGTCTGCAAGGAACCTCGTGCTGTACACTGGTCCACAATGTCCCCGCAGTATCTTCATCTCTGCGCCTGCATTATCCTCCTCATCATCCTGGGAACATCGGGGGTGGGTGGGAAAGCAAACACACACAAGAGAAACAACGTTCAGTGGTCTGACACGGGAAATGAGACCAGGAATAAAAAAAAAAAAAGAGAACAGAAGCTGCTTGGGAACTAGCATCTACCCCAGAAAACGACAACAGTCATGCCCTTAAAGGTCACCCCAGAAAAATAACGCATAACTGCATAATTGAATATGAAGTCTCGTACAAGTTACAAGCTACTTTCCTTTAATTCATCTTGCAGCTAAGACTGTATCAGATTAAAAGATATAGAAATGCAAGGCTATTATTATAGAATAATGACTGGGACCTTACTCTTTGGTTGACGATAACACACATTTCAAAATCTGATAAAAAAGTAGCCTGTGGTGACTTTCATTGTTAATTCTGATGTATGTCATTTGGAAAGATTTACTTTTGGATTTATGTGAAGTTCTTAGATTCTTTTATTTATGGGCATTGTCTTCATTGGTCACTTTCGGCTCCTTTATAAGCCATATTGCTGTTTCTATTCCACTTGAAAAAATTCTGCCACACTCATCACTCCCACGACAGGGGTTAATGATGGAGGCAGCAACACACGAAGGCAGATGTGGTCTCACTTCAAGATTAATACAGAACTACTGGAGTTGTTTAGCCAAAATAAACTGAAATGCGTAAGAGTCAACAGTAAGCTAGAAAGATGCGGTTGTCCATAAATCACACCCTCCTTCTGCCCCATGATCAGCCACAAACTGCTGGCTCCCCAAAAGAAATAAGAATAAAGTTTTAAAATAGTGACTTTCTGGAGGGTCTCAAACATTTTCCCCAAAGTTACAAAACAAAGCATGGATTCAGAATGGCTTTAAACAAAGCTAAGCAACTCATGTGATGCTTGGAAATAGTTTTCTGTGTGTGAAGACAGAAAAGACAACAGCCACCCCCCGGGCACTGACCAGTGCACTGACTGCTCTCAAAGTCCACTTTCCCTTCTCTCCCTCACAGACAGCTCCTCACAGCTGCAGCTCTCTATTCTGGAATTCATGAATTACAAAGGGTTTTATTTATTTTTTCATTTTATTTTTTACAAAGGGTTTTAATTAAACACTAGAAGAAAGGAGTAAGATGAATATTTGTGAACCAATCAACTTTGCTAACTCATTGTGGGAGCCTCTGGCTCTTATATAGGAAAAGGGCACCCTTTTGGGAGGGATCCTTTTTTTCTACTTGAAAAATACTATATTCAAAATAAATGAATGCCTCCAATGTGTACATATTGGAGGAAAAGTTAAGAGAAAATAAACACTGATGTCCATGAATATTCAAAATGGCTGCTCCAGATACTCAACATTAAAAATACATAAGCACGAAGATTCTACTGAGTGCTACCAAGAATATTAGTAATTTTCCTTTCCAAAGAGGTTACAACAACACTTTAAAATTTCAAGAATGACTCACTGCCCTACACCAGAGAGTTTACATAAGGAATGTGGGAGCTAAAATGACACCGGATGAACTAAACAAAGATCTTTTGAAAGTTAACTGTGAGGCTCAAGTGATCTTCACCGGGAATAGGAAGCTATGCAGGGGCCTGCACCTCCTGCCTCCTTAGTGGGGACCTCGGTGTCGTGGTTGGAGATGGAGAGAGGTGCGTGTGCCAGGAGGGTAGCTGGCGCTCCCCGGGGTCTCGACGACTGCCCTGGACTGGTGGAAAAGCGCCTGGTTGACTCCGTAGACCAAGACATGGAGAAACCAGAATGCTCCTGCCGGCTATCGCTATCACGCTTTGCCAGGACCACAGCTTAAAATAACCCAGCCGCGCTTTCTGTGTGGCCCAACCCAGTTCCACAAAGGCCTCGGCACAGTTGAGCAGCAGATTCACAGACTGAGCCCCGCGGGTTCTTGCTCTTTTCTCTCCCACAGACAGGATGGCACCCCAGAACTCCCTGAAATTCTGACTGAACAGTTAATGGTTGTGCAGGCCAAATAGAAATGTTTAATTTGTAAAGTATATTCATGTAATAATAAGTCTTTTTCTTTTTTAGGGACAGGGTCTTGCTCTGTTACCCAGGCTAGAGTGCAGTGGTGTTATGATAGCTGACTGCAGCCTTGAACTCTCAGGCTCAGCGATCCTCCTACTTCCTGCCTCAGCCTCCTCCTGAGTAGCTGGGACTATAGGCATGTGTCGGCATGCCCGGCTATTTTTTAAATTTTTTGTAGAGACAGGGTCTCACTTTGTTGCATTGGCTGTTCTCAAACTCCTGGCCTCAAGCGATCCTCCCACTTTAGCCTCCCAAAGTGATGGGATTATAGGTGTGAGCCACTATGCCCAACCAACAATAAGTCTTACTATGTATACATAAAACATGCATAAAATAGAAATTTAAAGAGTAAGAAAAATAAGTATAAACAGATCTTCAACTATCATTTAATGCATCTTTGTGCTACAGTCTGCCACCCCTGCCGTCCCTACAAACCGCACATTTGTTATGGCTGCTCCTGAACTAGGAGGCTCCCAGTCCACTCAGCTCAGACTAAGCTCTCTCTACTCCTCCCCAGATCAGGGGTCCTTTTCGGGGTCTGGAATTTATCCTTGGACTGTTCTCTAATTAGCTATCAATGGAACGGAAAGAAATTTTATTTGGCTGGGCTTGTGAGTGGGTTAAGATTTAGAAGCAAGTGAGCCACTGCTATCCATGTGGGAGATGATAGCAGCCTGAACTGGAACAGAAAAGGTGGCTACTGGCTCGTGCAAATCAACATGTGTTGTTCGTGTAAATACACATCACATCAGATTCCTAAGACCTGGGACCTAAAAAGAGAGGTATGTAACATATTTCATGAATAATCTTTTATATCATTTACATGCTTAAGTGATAACTTGCCCATTTGGATTCAATGAAATAGATTAATACAATTAATTTTGACAATTTTTTCTCCTCTTTAAATGTGACCAATGGAAAAATTTAAATTACAGGTATGTCTCACATTATATTCCCTTTGGACAGCACTGATCTAAATGACAATTTTATATACAAATTATACAGCTGAATATTACTGACAATGTTGGCTTCTTTACTTTTCAAATTTAAAGACCAGATTGGGGCCTGTACTCCTAGTACTCTGGGAGGCTGAGGTGAGAGGATCTATCAAGGTCAGGAGTTCGAAACCAGCCTGAGCAAGAGTAAGACTCCATCTCTACTAAAAATAGAAAGAAATTAATTGGCCAACTAAAAATATGGAAAAAAAAATTACGCTGGGCATGGGCCATGCCTGTATCCCAGCTATCTTGGAGGCTATGCAGGAGGATGCTTGAGCCTAGAGTTTGAGTTTACTGTGAGCTAGGCTGATGCCATGCACTCACTCTAGCCCGGCACAGAGTGAGCTCTGTCCAAAAAAAAAAAAAAAAAAAGACAGATTGGGGGAAGAATCATAGATATTAAGTGACTAATATGGGGTGCTTTTTTTATTGGCTACGGGGACGGCTTCACTAGATGCGATGTAGTTGAACTTCGTCAGAAGCGAGAGATAGGGGAGAAGTTATGAAGCTGCAGATAATGATGGAATTTCATAGGGGTTGGAAACAGTGTAATTTTCTCCACAAGATACACACATATAGATCAAGCATTGATGGTCTAAAGAATGAACCATTGCGCGTGGAAGTTTGATGGTTATATTATGTTATTGCCATTCTCGAAAGTATATACAAAATAAGCTACTTATATTTAGCTCAGGAAGTCAACAGGCGTGGCGACCAATATTGGATAATATGTGAAAACAACATCAATATCTACCATCCAATTAATTTCACATGAGGAACAACAGGGAGAGAACACAGACGCAGAAGCTGATGGAGCGCAGACTATACTATCATAGTTACGTCAAATGCGCGATAGATAATAAGGAAGTGAGTAGTGAAGGATGTCAAGATAGAGCTTAATACAAGGGATCACCAGAGAGAGAGCGAGTCAGCAGCACACGGTAACTGCCTGATACCATTAACACATTATCAGAAGCTTACCAATGAGCCTATGTTTAGAATCTTCAGTGGGAGATAATGGAAGCTATAGGAACAGTGCGTGAACCAGTTATGTGGCAAATTAATGAGAGAAATTTTATGCTTACATAGGAGACTCTTGGTTGTTTTCCTTTTGTTTTTTTAAAGATTAAATTCACTAATTATAAATTCACTATTTAAGCATACAATTCAATGGTTTTTAGTATATTCACGAGATATGCAACATTCACCACTAATCAGAACATTGTCATTACCCTCTTTTTTTTTTTTTTTTTTGAGACAGAGTCTCGCTTTGTTGCCCAGGCTAGAGTGAGTGCCGGGCATCAGCCTAGCTCACAGCAACCTCAACCTCTGGGCTCAAGCGATTCTGCTGCCTCAAGCCTCCCGAGTAGCTGGACACAGCATGCACCACCATCGCCCGGCTAATTTTTTCTATAAATAATTAGTAGTTGGCCAATTAATTTCTTTCTGTTTATAGTAGAGAACGGGGTCTCGGCCTCTTGCCAGGCTGGTTCGAGCCCCTCCCGACCTACCATCCGCCCCCCCTCCCCCCACGAACGCCCCCCCCGCGGACGTAGACTGAGCACGCGCTCGCCCACCAGGCGGGATGGCGGCCCGGCGGGCTGAACACTATTTAAATACTTACTGTGAAAATGTTGGGTTCACTATTTAAGACACAGTCATTTCTTCTAGAAGATTAAGCAGTGCAAACTGACTTTAATGTGGCTTACATGGGTCTCGACTCCCATCTATCTCTTTAATCCATGAGGCTTCAACCATTTACTTTTACCTGCTTGGCTGCTATAGCACGTGAGTTGTGCCCTGCATTAAGAGTCTGATTTTGGCGCGGTGGTGGCTCCGCCTGTAATCCTAGCATCTGGGGCGAGGCGGGCGATTGCTTAAGGTCAGGAGTTTGAAACAGCCTGAGCAAGAGCGAGATCCCCGTCTCTACTAACATAAGAAAGACAATTAACTGGCCAACCAAAAATATATAGAAAAATTAGCTGGCATGGTGGCAATGCCTGTAAGTCCCAGCTACTTGGGAGGTCTGAGGCAGGAGGATCGCTTTACAGCGCGTTTGAGTTGTGTGAGCTAGGCTGATGCCACACACTCTAGGCGGGGCACAAGAGTGAGACTCTTGTTCGAGAAGAAAAAAAAAAAGATAAAAAGTCATAATTTTTTTTTTTTTTTTGAGCAGAGTCTCACTCCTGTTGGCCCAGGCTAGAAGTGAGTGCCTGTGTCCAGCCTAGCTTACAGCAACCTCCAAAACCCTGGGCTCAAGCAATCCTTCTGCCTCAGCTCCCAATAGCTGGGACTACAGGCCATGGCACCACCATCCGCCCGGCTATATTTTTGTATAATTTCAGTGTGCCAATAATTTCTTCGCTATTTTCAGTAGCAGACGGGTCTCACTCACAGCCAGGCTGGTTTCGAACGCTGACCAAGCGATCTGCTGCTCGGCCTCCCAGTGGCTAGGATTACAGGCGTGAGCCACCACGCCGGCCGAGTTTGATTTTAATTGTGATTCTAATACACAAAGAGTCAACTTCTCACTGGAGGAGCATTAAAACCCAACTATCTCCTTGTGTACCTGTATCCCTAGTTCAAAAAAAAAAGAACAAAACCCCAACTATCCTAACTCATTTTCTTTTTGCTCATTTAAAAACTCATGTAAATTTATGGGTCCATGAGTATAATTTGTTACATGCATAGATTGTTTGGTCAAGTCAGGGCTTTTAGTTGTGCCTTGCTTCCCCCGAAATGCTCTTTGTCAGAATCAAATAAAAACTTCTCCAAACCACTGTGACAAAATGGGTAGGGATGTAGGAATCCCACGCAGGAAGAAGACCTTCAACAACAGAATGGGAGGATCTCTATTTTAGTTCTAAAGTTAAAAAAAAAAATATGTATCTTCAAGAAGCAAAGGCTAGATCTACAGTACTTTCATTATGAATGAATAATGATGAACAAACCAGAAAAAGAGCACTTAAAAAACAACTGTTCCGATGATACCCTTTCCTCTCTTTCTGACTGACAAGCATTGCCCCGCGTTTACCCAGCTGTCCAGCCTGAGACACAGGTGTCACTCGAGGCCTCCTCTCCCTCCATGTCCTATGTTAAGCAGCAACGGGCTCTTCCCCAACCCGCCCACTGTCTCCTTTTCTCCCATGGTACATCCATACGGCAGCGCCCATCACCTCCTTCCTCACCTCTCTCCCACTCTAGCCACGCTCTATTTCTCTCAGTTCCTGGAATCCTCCTGTCATCCCTCACTTCTGAGTCTTCAATATGCTTTTTTTTTTTTTTTTTTTTGAGACAGAGTCTCGCTTTGTTGCCAGGCTAGAGTGAGTGCTGTGGCGTCAGCCTAGCTCACAGCAACCTCAGACTCCTAGGCTCAAGCAATCCTCCTGCCTCAGCCTCCCGAGTAGTGGGACTACAGGCATGCGCCATGCCGGCTAATTTTTTCTGTATAATTAGTGGCCCATTAATCCCCTTCTAATTTTTAGTAGAGATGGGGTCTCGCTCTTGCTCAGGCTGGTTTCAAACTCCTGACCTTGAGTGATCCGCCCACCTCGGCCTCCCAGAGTGCTAGGATTACAGGCGTGAGCCACCGCGCCCGGCCGATGTTCACTCTTTAATACATCAACCCTACATAAAGAATTTTCACAAAGTAACTTGAGGCAGAGCTACCTAACTTTCAGCAGTGATATGACAAAAAGATTTTAGTCTACACCTTTTGTGGGACCACTCTCAGAGAAAGTTAACTCTGTGCAAAATTTAATTTCTATCAACCTTGGCCCACATTTTTTCTAAGGTTGTGATTCTCGGTGACCTGAAACTCAGATAGCAAGGCCTGTCCCTTTTAAAGACCGTCCCAAAATAAAGCAATTAAGATCTGACAACAGATTGTTACACTGATTGAATTGATGGGTGAACTGGCAACTCTACTTCCTGTGTTACTTTTCAAATTGAGGTCTGGGAACACCGTGGGGCACATGGAGCCAGAGAATAACACTGGCCTCAGAGGGCCACTACCATCTAGCGTGCTGAGGGTGCAAGAAAGTAGCATTCTCACTACTGCCAATGAAACTGGGAAATGGCACAACTTTTTGTGTGGAAATGATAATAGTCATTACAGTTTAGAATGCAGACCCTTTGACCCAGTAATCCTACTTCTGAGTATATTTTTGCAAATGTACACACACATAAATGAATATTTACTGTAATTCTCAACTAAAGTCAGTATTAGCTAATGGTCTTTAATTAGGCTTAGTGATGTTACATTTAGTGATGCTACATTTCAGATAGCAATAAATACTAACCCTTCACTAATGAAGTTAATATTGTTAAAAATAGTTCTTATCTCTTAGGTTAGGCATGTCTAGGAATTCAATGGCTACAGGTTACATGGCATTAGTTTGGCTATTAGTTTGGCTTTAGCTATATGATGAAGGAAATAAGGAAGTCTGTTCTCTGTAAGGTCTGCCATGTTTGGTAGGAATAGTCTAAGCAAATTAGGAAGGCAAGTGCAGAGAAGGAAAGATGGTATTCATACCTCCTCTTCCAGAACATCACAAGCCAAGTGGATGCGGGACACGTCTACTTGATGGGGCTCTGATTTTAACTTCTTGGATCGTAAACTCCAAAGTTTTATACAAGAGTTGTCAAACCCAGCAGCAAGCAGCTTGCTGTCAGGGGAGATTTCTGCAGTGTTCAACAGTTGCTCTGTGTTATAGAAGGCATAGAAGCAGATGGTAGTGAGGGAGGGAGGCCCGTCCTTGACACGCTTAATGCTCTCCTGCAAGACCTCCAGGGCAGCCTCGTTCTGCAGAATAGGGCTGGGCATATCAGGGGGCTCTAAGCCGTTGCTCTCATTGCGAGAGGAGCTGCCACTAGCATAGAGCTGGTAGTCTGTTCTCTTGGCAGGCTGCACATCAAGATGGATATGTAAGGTCAGGACTTTGCAGAGGGCAGTATTGTTGTCACTTTGGAGGTAGCGGATAAGGTAGTTGTAGCTGTCTTCTTGGAGGCGGACCACGTACTTGTTATCTAGGAATGCTCGGAGCTTGAAGTTAGACAGGACGTCCTGGATGGTCTGGGTAGTCTGCAGCTGCTCGATGACGTCCTTCTGGCTGGCGTTCTGCAGAAACATTCCATGGAAGCGGCTGTAAAAACTTTCCACTGTGCTCTTCGGACTATTCTGGACCAGGTTGAGATGGAGGTAGACAAAGAGAGGATAGAGGAGAGGCATCACTTCGTGGCTATGCTGGGAATCAGAATCTGTAATGAAAAAACGTAAGGGCTTTATAATCAACAGAATCTCACAGAATATGGTGATCCCTCCTGGGGAACCCACCATCACATAACACTTTCTTGCCAGGACCCCATTTTTTGAGACTATTGATTGAAATATACACCTAACACAGAATTCTGGAATTTCAAAGTCCTTTTGATTCAAGAAGGAAGAGCATCAACTCCGAAGTCCAGCAAACCTGGGCCTGAAGTCAGCCACAAATCAGAAACTAATGCCCAGAGGGGTTAAGTGACTTGTCTAAGTTCTCACAATAATTCAATAGCTTGTACTCAGGTCTTCAAGGTTCAGTATTTTTTTCTCAATACATTAGTGTTTCTCATACTGAGGACTTCAGACCTCTGAGGGCCCTTAGATGTATTCTTGGGAGACTTTTGAGTTCTTCACAGAAACTTTTTAACTGGATAATAATCTAAAAAACAATGAACAGAAGTATATTCAGAATTATCTGCATGGATGGCCACTTGGCAAGTAAGTACTGACAAGCAACTTTAGTGCTCGAGTTTGTGTTTTGCATTACTTTTGGCATCTTATCACCTGAAGTAGAATCAAAGCACTTATTTTAGTGGGCTCATTACCTTATCTGGCTATACAAGACGGCAAGTCCTAATGTTAGGACGGCAGTAGCATTCACCCATAATTGTCCTGTCAGTGTACTCATTTAGATTTTGTTGGTTAAATGTAAAACTTCTCGTTTGCATTAACAAACTACAAACAGACATATTTATGTTATTAAGACTAAACTACAGGCTGGTACAACCTTAGATACTCTTGTATCTTTCTCTAGTATTCTCCTTTGAGATTTTATCATTTTCTAAGACTTAAAAACTTGGGCCTCCATGTAGCTGATGCTAAATCCTTTATCACATGTCTGTATCTTTCTCTTAAATTTTAGCCCCAAATTTCCTACTGGAAGATATACAGTAGAATGTCATTATCATGACAATTTAAAAATTTATAACCTCTTCTGCTGATTTCTGTTCAATAAGGTATTATTCTCTGCACCCGTCTTAAAACCTTAGTCATCTTCACCCCTTCTTCCTTGTCTACTCCCGAACCTTGGAGATTCTACCGTGGTAATTTAACTATGAAACCAAGATCCTGCCTTCCATTTCTACCACACTGTCAAGGTCTAGTCCTTTCCCACCTCATTTCTTTTCTTTTTTTTTTAAATATTTATTTAATTTATTTATTTTATTTTTTATGCTTCAAAGATGGTTGAGAATTTGTTGACCCACCTCATTTCTTAAGTATTGCCATGGACTTTTACTAACTGGTCAGCCTCTTAGACCCTTCTTCCAAACCATTTTATAAACTGCTTTTAGACTAATATTCATTTATTTTCAGTCCAAAAGCCCCATACTCAGTAAAGCTGGTTCCTTAGTTGTTCCTACACAGAGTTGTCATCTCTGCCCTTTTGTTCATGTCCCTCCACTTACCCAAATCCTCCTCCTCCTTCTCTTCCACAGTCTACTGAAATCCAACCCACCCTCCAAGTGCTGACTTAAATACTACCTCCTAGCCTGAGCAACACAGTGAGATCCCTATCTCTACAAAAAATGAAATTAGTCAGACATAGTGGCCCTAGCTCATAGTCCCAGCTACTCGGGAGGCTGAGGTGGGAGGATTGCTTGAACTCAGAGGAGTTTGAAGTTGCAGTGAGCTATAAGGATGCTACTGTACTCCAGCCTAGGTAACAGAACAAGACCCTGACACAAAGACCGCCCCTTCCCCCCCAAATCCTACCTCCTGCTTAGTGAAGCCTTCTCTGACTACCCCAGACTACATCCTTCTCTCCCTTCATTCCAAATGCAATTCCAATATGTACATAATTCAGCAATTGACCTTATATTGGTCTGTGAAAGCACTTCTGCTATATTCAAGCTTTATTTAAAAACTTTTACTTATAGCTTTTTTATATTAGTACTGCTTCCAAATTAGATTTATGACTATATTTTACACTTTATCATTGTGCTCAGGAAATACTTGTTCATCTGATTTAGCTGACTGCTCTTCAGAGAACTGAGGGTAGAGAAAAATGTCCCAGGAAAGGCAGTCCACAGCGAACAACATATATTAACCACACCAAAAAATCTGTGACCAAAGGATTAAAGAATCAAATTACAAACAAAGTAACAACTTTCTCAGTTTTGAAACAAGACAAGAAATCACAAAGGAAATGGTTCATAGATTATAATGCATTGAAATGTAAAGTTCTGGGCAAACAATCTTTGTGCTAACAATTTTTAATGATAAAGATGCATGTAAAGGTAATAAATATATAAATCAAAATAATATACCTAGCCTTATACACAGAGTTATCCCAGTTTTACTTGACTCCCACCATTGTTGGTATTTTAAAGGAAAGAATCTATATTTACTACAGTCTGTAGCTGGGGAAAATGGCCAAAATTTACAGGAAATAAAGGCTAAAAAATAAAACCCTCAAGGGTTATCTTAATCAGTTTCATAGCTATTGAGTGATGGAATTCATAAGTAGAGAATAGTCTGTAAATAGTCACGAAATTGAAAAAAAATCATGAAGATTAAAGGATTAATAAAAAGAGTCTATTATGTTTAAACTGAAAAGAAAGAAGCTCCATGAAGTTCCTCATATCATATGAATGTTAAATATCTCAGAGCAGTAATCTGTCTTCACTAAGGATAAAAAAAGAAAAAGTGAATTTATAATAAGAGTTTTGTTCAGAGGTAAGCAAGAACTTGGGAGACAATGAGTTGTTTTTAAACATTGGCATTGGTTTTTGAGGCTTTAAGCAATTAAAAAAAATTTTAACTGTTTTTATTTAAAAAATTTTCCATTCTTTTTGTGTACATTCATGAAAAAATTTTAACTCTGTCTTTATAAAAAAGTTATTTTACTCAGTTTTAAAAATGATTATGTTTATCTCTCCATGACAGATTTATCTCGCCGTACTACTGGTGGGGAAGCTGGTTTAGAAAGAAATGCCTGGACTCTTTCAGCCTATTTCTTTCATTCATTCAGCCTGCACTTGTGTTAAGTGCTAACTATATGCTAGGCCAGACACTGTCATAAGATGTATTGGTATGGTCCCTGCCCTCATGGAACATACCTTCTAATGAGAAAAACAGACACAGAGTAAGGCACCAAATGTATAATAGTGATGTACTCTGTGTTCTCATGCCAGTCAGATAGCTCTTTTCAGGGATATAACCTATTTCCATTATGCATGACATTCAGATGACTCTAATGACATTATACAGATTTCTGTTTGCTTGGTTTTTTTTTGTTGTTTTTTTTTTAAAGAGACAGAGTTTTGCTCTGCTCTCCAGGTTGAAATGCAGTGGCATGATTATAGCTCACTGCAGCCTTGAGCTCCTAAGCTTAAGGGATCCTCTTGCCTCAGCCTCCCAAGCAGCTGGGACTACAGGTGCACACCACTACACCTGGCTAATTCTTTTTTTGGTTTGTTTTTTTTAATGTAGAGACTGGGTCTTGATATATTGCCTAGGCTGGTTGGTTTCCAACTCCTGGCCTCAAGTGATCCTCCCACCTCGACCTCCCAAAGTGCTAGGATTACAGGTGTGAGCCACCACTCCTGGCCTTGCTTGAATTTTTTTAATCATTGAAGCATAGCTATGTAAAATAGATTCACTGGAATAATTTTATTATTATAGAATTGTGATGATTTTTGCCATGAAGCATTAACACATCTAGTTCATTGCTAAAGTGATTTATCCTGGTACAAATTTTTATGTTCACATCCCTTTCCAGTTTATCTTTTGGGGCTCTTGATGTTTTTCTGAAATATTTTCCAGGGCTCTTAATGTAGAATGACAACTCAGCTCTTGTATTTGATGGAATTGTTTTTTTCCCTAATATGTGGTACAGCATTTTTTTTTTTTTTAAATCTCAAGTGGTCATTCTGCCACCCATGAACTGGTCTAAACTACAACTTTTAATTTTTAGGCCTGCTGACTCATGAGGGCTACTGTCTTGCATGTTTGGAAATAAGATCATTTTAAGATGTACTGTATTACTGGTAGAGATATAATGTACATTTCAAACATGCCGCATTTAAGGATGCTTCTCCGCATGGTTGACTTAGCTTTCACTACTTGCTCAACACAAGTCATAAGTCACTGTATTGAAGGCATGAATAAAACTAAATAATGGCCAGGCGCGGTACCTCATACCTGTAATCTTAGCACTCTGGGAGGCTGAGGCAGGAGGACTGCTTGAGCTCAGGAGTTCAAGACCAGCCTGAGCAAGAGCAAGATCCCGTCTCTACTATAAATAGAAAGAATTAGCCAAACAACTAAAAATAGAAAAAATTAGCCGGGCATGGTGGCGTGTGCCTGTAGTCCCTGCTACCTGGGAGGTTGAGGCTAGCCTAGACAACAGAGTGAGACTCTTGTCTCAAAACAAAAACAAAAACAAAACTAAATAAAAAACCCAGAGCCCTTGCCCTTGTCTACTTTAACATCATGATTTAACTCTCTCAATAATTCCAACAGACCATAAGTTTGAATGTAAGAACTGTGTTAAAAAGTACCTTTTTTCCCCCTTTTTTGAGACAGTCTTACTCTGTCACCCTGGCTAGAGTGCAGTGGTGTCATCACAGCTTACAGCAACCTCAACTTCCTGGCTTGAGTGATTCTCCTGCCTCACCCCTCCCCAATAGCTGGGACTACAGGTGTGTGCCACCACACCTGGCTAATTTTTCTATTTTTTGTAGAGATGGGAGTTTCATCCTTTCTCAGGCTGGTTTTGTTAAAGTACCTCTGAATCTCTATTTTTTGTTGTTGTTGAGACAGAGTCTCACTCTGTTGCCTGGGCTAGAGTGCCATGGCATCAGCCTAGCTCATAGCAACCTCAAACTCCTGGGCTTAAGCAATCCTTCTGCCTTAGCCTCCCGAGTAGCTGGGATTACAGGCATGTGCTACCATGCCCAGCTAATTTTTTCTATATATATTTAGTTGGCCAATTAATTAATTTCCTTCTATTTTTTAGTAGAGACGGGATCTTGCTCAGGCTGGTTTTGAACTCCTGACCTTGAGCAATCCTCCCGCCTCGGTCTCCCAGAGTCCTAGGATTACAGGTGTGAGCCACCGTGCCCGGCCCCTCTGAATCTCTAGTACCTAATGCCATGCCTAGAATAGAGTAGGTTCTAAGGGAAATTTATATGACTCTATTTCTTAATGTGAAAAGGGTCCGAGTGCTGAATACTTACCAGTGAGAAAATTCCTCAGTCGTCCAAACTGTACTTCATATTGCTGGGGTTCTGCCTGGCAAGGGGCTGCAGACACTATGTTGGCACAACCAGATTCTGATTGAACTAAAGAGGAAAAGATAGAGAAGACAGGGGTGGGAAAGACAATTATTAACCCAATATGGGCAGGAAGGATGAAGGAGGGTATTGAGCTACATCAATAGCAATCGACATTTCAGCAGATTTTCAAAGTATGTTGGGGGTCCGGGTTAAATGAGACAGACGGATGACACCTGTTTGTCTCCCCTCCTGCCTGACACCCAATAAAACTAGAATAGTGGAATGAAAAGGTATAAAGCACAGGATAAGTTGAATGAGAGAGGATAGTTATATAAGTTCATAAGAGATTTACCTGGAAACTTTTGACCCTGTATTCTGAAATTTTACAACAGTGTGCCTTGGTGTGGATCCATTATCAACCATTGTGCTGGGCATTTATTGGGCCCTTTCAATTTGGAGATTCATGTCTTCCAGTTCTGAAGACTCATGTCTTGAGTCATTTTGATAATTCCCTTCTATTTTCTGACTCTTGCAATTTCAAGGCTGAATCTCCTGAACTGATCCTTTTATTTTTTTCTCCCATATTCCATTTCTTTGTCTTTTTGCTCTGCTTTCTGGGAGGCTTCCTCACTTTTCAGTCTGATTTTTTCCGCTAGGTTACTTATAATACCTAATGAGCTTTCATTTTTACTATCATATATTTAGTCGACAACTTTGTTTTTCGTTCTATGAATGTTCTTCCCCCCCCCTGCCCCAAATAGCATTATCTTCTTGTTTCAAGGCTATCATGGCATTTTTGAATTTTTCTTCTGTTTCTTTCCATTTATCTTTCTTATGGGATACGTTTCTTGCCCTGGCTGGCTCAGAGTGAGGCTCTCCACCCCTAGTGGAAATTCTATGGGGGCGTGGCCTATCACCCAGGATGACCTGGATGGGCAATTTTACAATGTCAGGGTCTTTTGGTCTTTTCTCTTGGGCAGGTCAGTCTCACAGGGAGGGATCTTTTACTAGCCTTCCTGCATGATGAGGGCCTGGCTGCAGCATCCTGGGCAGCTCAATGTGGAGAACAAGGCCGGAGTCTCAATATTCAGTATGTAAACATGCACTTAATCGTCATTCTGCGAGTTTATGCTTTCTAAAAAGAAAACTCAAATTCCCTTACCCTATTTACATGGATGGAGGAATGGTAACTAATGCAGCAGGACTGAGTAAGCCACAACATAAAATATAGACAGGGGGATACAGGTAAGAAGAAAGTCAATGTACCCTGCTAGAACTCAGAGCCAGTCAGAAGCAGCAGGATCTGCTGCAAGGCTGACAGGGAAAGCAGGACTCCTACTTTTTTCCGTCATGTTGCCCCTACTTTTAGTCAATCAGTCACTAAGTCCTACAGATTCCTAACATTTATCCTTGCCTCTCCATTCCCAGTGCTGCTGCCATCACTCAGCCTGTCCTCACTTCTCATTGGATTGCATCTTCTTAACTGGGTTACCTGTTTCTAACCTGGGCCTTTGCCAATCAATGCTGCCACCAGACTGATCTTTCTAAAGTTCACATTGGACAGCTTGGATACCTTCCTCCAACTTGTCCCTCCTTGGTAAATGCTTAATAGCTCCTTTGAAACTCGGCTCCCTCCTTCTACTATTTACTGACCCCCGACTATATGCCAGGAGTTACGAGACCTTTTGGGGAGCCTTCCTTGACCTGCCAGCCTAATTTATATGATCCTCTTCTCTGCTCCTATTAAACTTGAGGTACTCCCCCACTCCCTTCACAGAACTTACTACATCATACTCTTCTATAATCACTCCCTTACTTCCCAACTAGAACATTTATTAATAGCTTTTCAGGAGCTAGGATCAAATCTTAGCTATCTCTGGAACTTTTCTGCACTAGGCCTACCGCAGATGTTCAATAAATGTCTGCTGAATGAAGACATAATTGTTCGGATTACTCAGTTAACAGAAAGACCCAGGACAAAATGTTATGATATTCATATTTCACATTTCTCACTTTTCCTGGTAGTTTTCCAGGAACAGCACTGACATGCCTAACAAGCTATTACATCTAAATGGAGACAACTAAGAATAGTAGTGTTCTGCAATATTGTTTAACAATGCTCATTTCTACTTTCTATCAATAACAGCAAAGAATTACTGCCTCTGGGCTCCAAAGAATGCAAGGCATCAGGAGATTATTCCTGTACTTTAAAGGCTGTGACAATGAGTTCAGAAGGAATTACTCAAGAGTGGGCCAGAGCCCTTGTACATTGACTATCCTACTAGGCACTTACTATTCTATACCAAGGCCACCATCTAGCCATGATTTCCTCAAGGGTGTTCCTATGGAGTGTGAAGGAAAGAAAGAATGGATGGGTCTGACCCTAAAGTATATGAAGGCAGATTCCTGATGGGGATTTTGCTAGTGTCTCCGAGGGAGTCAGAAACCACTCCACTGGGAGCATCCTCAGGTTTTACTATCCTATCACATTCTTCCTACAGCAATGCAATAAAACCTGGGTCTCCAACTTTGACGGTAGTGGGACAAGAGGTAGCTGAGGAGACTGCTGTTACCAGTATAGAGGATGAAACTATTAAGGGATCGAGCAGGTGGTAACAGATACTTGAGAGAACAGAGGAAGTCTGGGAACCAAGAAGAGAGAAGGATCCAGACTGAGCACATCAGGGGAACCAGGGCTACAGAAACCACTGCTAACTCCAACTCCACACACAGCCTAAAGTAGTTCATAATCACCCGAAAGTAACACAGCAAATTTTTTTTCAAAACCTTTGGTACATAAACTCAATATAAAATCATATCACATAAAAACCTGAACTCACAAAAAAGCTAAGTAACAATTATAGTAGGCTCTCCATATGCCCATGGGCTCTACATCCATGGACTAAACTGTGTATTGAAAACATTCAGTAAAAAAAGTCCCCAGAAGCAAAATGTGAATTTGCTGTGCCAAGTACTACACTGAATCCATGTGAACCAAGTGATGTGCAGGCACTGCAAGTAATCTAGAAATGATTTAAAGCACATGGGCGGCTGTGCACAGATTATATGCAAAGACTATGTTATTTTGTATCGGGGACTTGGGCATCTATGGATTTTGGTATCTAAGAGGGGTCCTGGAACCAATTCCCCACAGATACCAAGGGACAACTTACTTGTTATTCCAGATGAATTCAACTCAAGTTTTTCTAAGAGAGAATCTGATTTCAAAAAAATAAAAAACAAAAAGAAATTTTAAAAACCTTTGGAATGTATCTATGATACCAGTATTTCCAACCACTGATCCTGAAGTACTCATTTGCCCAGCAAACCTGATTTCCATGTGCGAGGCCCCTGCTAGATGAAAGGGGGCCTGTAAAAGGAGGGGACAGAGGCCCTGTCCCTAAGGGTCTTGTAGGATAATAGTTTACAGAAGGAAAAAGTTACACAGACCATCAGGTACAGATGAAATGATTTAGAAGTTCTGAGGAAGGAAATATTACTTTAGCCAGGGAAACCACAAGAGATCTTCAGACGTGGCATGCGAGCATGGCTTTGAAGGACAGTTAGGGTCTCTGAGGCCAACGCCATTTACTTGATGCAGCTCACTGAGGGTTCTCGACAGTCTTTCTCTCTGGCACTACCTTGAGAAGTAATTCCACACAGACACACACGCGAGTTCTCCTGCTCCAGGCTCACCCCACCTCAGGGGCCCCTGCCATTACCTGTGAGATTCGCCGCCATCTCCTCAGCAGTCTGTGACAGCCGTAGTCCTTGCTTCAGGGGACCGTCTGAGTCCATGTATTGCCGGCGTTTGAGGGATCAGCCACAAACTGCTGGCTCCAAAAGAAATAGAATAAAGTTTTAAAATAGTGACTTTCTGGAGGTCTCAACATTTTCCCCAAAGTTACAAAACAAGGCATGGATTCAGAATGGCTTTAAACAAAGCTAAGAAACTCATTGATGCTTGAAATAGTTTCTGTGTGTGAAGACAGAAAAGACAACAGCCACCCCCGGGCACTGACCAGTGCACTGACCTGCTCTCAAAGTCCACTTTCCCTTCTCTCCCTCACAGACAGCTCCTCACACGCTGCAGCTCTCTATTCTGGAATTCATGATATTCAAAGGGTTTTATTTATTTTTTTCATTTTATTTTTTACAAAGGTTTTAATTAACACTAGAAGAAAGGAGTAAGATGAATATTTGTGACCAAATCAACTTTGCTAACTCATTGTGGGAGCCTCTGGCTCTATATATGGAAAAGGGCACCCTTTTGGAGGATTCCTTTTTTCTACTTGAAAAATACTATATTCAAATAATGAATGCTCCAATGTGTACATATTGGAGGAAAGTTAGAGAAATAAACACTGATGTCCATGAATATTCAAGATGGCTGCTCCAGATACTCAACATTAAAAATACATAAGCACGAAGATTCTACTGAGTGCTACCAAGGGATATTAGTAATTTTCCTTTCCAAAGAGGTTACAACAACACTTTAAAATATTCAAAGAATGACTCACTGCCTCACCCAGAGAGTTTACATAAGGAATGTGGGAGCTAAAATGACACCGGATGAACTAAAAAAGATCCTTTGAAAGTTAACTGTGAGCTCAAGTGTCTTCACGGAATAGGAAGCTATGCAGGGCCTGCACCTCCTGCCTCCTTAGTGGGGACCTCGGTGTCGTGGTTGGAGATGGAGAGAGGTGCGTGTGCCAGGAGGGTAGCTGGCGCTCCCGGGGTCTCGATGACTTGCCCTGGACTGGTGGAAAAGCGCCTGGTTGACTCGTAGACAAGACATGGAGAAACAGAATGCTCCTGCGGCTATCGCTATCACGCTTTGCCAGGACCACAGCTAAAATAACCCAGCGCGCTTCTGTTGTGCCCAACCCAGTTCCACAAAGGCCTCGCACAGTTGAGCAGCAGATTCACGAGACTGAGCCCGCGGGTTCTTGCTCTTTTCTCTCCACAGACAGGATGGCACCCCAGAACTCCCTGAAATTCCGACTGAACAGTTAATAGGTTGTGCAGGCCAAATAGAAATGTTTAATTTGTAAAGTATATTCATGTAATATAAGTCTTTTTTTTTTTAGGGACAGGGTCTTGCTCTGTTACCCAGGCTAGAGTGCAGTGGTGTTATGATAGCTGACTGCAGCCTTGAACTCTCAGGCTCAGCGATCCTCCTACTTCCTGCCTCAGCCTCCTCCTGAGTAGCTGGGACTATAGGCATGTGTCGGCATGCCCGCTATTTTTAATTTTTTGTAGAGACAGGGTCTCACTTTGTTGCATTGGCTGTTCTCAAACTCCTGGCCTCAAGCGATCCTCCACTTTAGCCTCCCCAAAGTGAGGGATTATAGGTGTGAGCCACTATGCCCAACCAACATAAGTCTTACTAGTACACATAAAACATGCATAAAATAGAATTTAAAGATAAGAAAAATAAGTATTAAAAGATCTTCAACTATCATTTAATGCATCTTTGTGCTAAAGTCTGCCACCCCTGCCGTCCCTAAAAACCACACATTTGTTATGGTGCTCCTGAACTAGGAGGCTCCCAGTCCACTCAGCTCAGACTAAGCTCTCTCTACTCCTCCCAGATCAGGGGTCTTTTCGGGTCTGGAATTTATCCTTGGACTGTTCTCTAATTAGCTATCAATGGAACGGAAAGAAATTTATTTGGCTGGGCTTGTGAGTGGGTTAAGAATTTAGAAGCAGTGAGCCACTGCTATCCATGTGGGAGAATGATAGCAGCCTGAACTGGAACAGAAAGGTGGCTACTGCCTCGTGCAAATCAACATGTGTTGTTCGTGTAAATACACATCACATCAGATTCCTAAGACTGGGACCTAAAAGAGAGGATGTAACATATTTCATGAATAATTTTTTATATCATTTACATGCTTAAGTGATAACTTGCCATTTGGATTCAATGAAATAGATTAATACAATTAATTTTGACAATTTTTTCTCCTCTTTAAATGTGACCAATGAAAAATTTAAATTACAGGTATGTTCACATTATATTCCCTTTGGACAGCCCTGATCTAAATGACAATTTTATATACAAATTATACAGCTGAATATTACTGACAATGTTGGCTTCTTTACTTTTCAAATTTAAAGACCAGATTGGGGCTGTACTCCTAGTATCTGGGCTGAGGGTGAGAGGATCTATCAAGGTCAGGAGTTCGAAACCAGCCTGAGCAAGAGTAAGACTCCATCTCTACTAAAAATAGAAAGAAATTAATTGGCCAACTAAAAATATGGAAAAAAAAATTAGCTGGGCATGGTGGCACATGCCTGTAGTCCCAGCTACTTGGGAGGCTATGGCAGGAGGATTGCTTGAGCCTAGGAGTTTGAGTTTACTGTGAGCTAGGCTGATGCCATGGCACTCACTCTAGCCCGGGCAACAGAGTGAGGCTCTGTCTC